CTGTAATTCATCATCTGGTCCCTCCAGGTTCCAAAATACAAAACCCCAAGTTTGTTCTAATCACTTGATTTTCAATTTGTCAACCCAGGGGAGCCCCAGCATTCCTAAATCTTGATAACATTCTTCAGACAGACCCGTGAGCCCCACATCCCTCGGGTGAAACAGCTTTAAATGCTCTAAGTCTTCCTATCATTAAGACGACAGCTCTCCAGAACAATTTTAGTGAAGGGAAGGGATAGGGTGGGGTAAAAGCTTACCCTAGCAGATATCAAAACCTATAATAAAGCTGTAGTGATTTTTTTTAAGAATTATTTTATTGGGACCAACAGTTAGTATAATGGCTATGTCGCTGGACTCCCACGTAGTCAACTGCGGTTTGAGTCCCGGACCCGGGGACTCAAACTCATGCCTGGCGTGTGTGCGTGCGTGCCCAAGATCCCGAGAGGAGAATGGAGGAGAAGGAATTGGGGCACAGCCATCCCTCCTGAGGAGTGATTCTCGCTTTCTGTCTGTCTCTGTTTCTCTGGTGAGCGTGCACGCCCTATATCCTGCGATTAATGCACAGGAATCCCATGTGGCCAGCCATGGTTCGAGTCCCAGACCCGGTGGCTTGAAACTCACACCAGTGCGTGTGTGGCCATCCCACCTGGGAGGCAATTTATCGCGTTCTGTCTCTCCGTCTCTTTCTATCTCTCGGGTAAATGCACACTCCCTACAGCAAAAATCTCTCAAAAGAAAAAGAGAATTAGGATTGATACAGTGTTGGGGAGACTGCCTAGAAAGGATAAGTTGCACATCTTTTACGGAAGGGCAGTTTGGCAGTATTTCCCGGAAGTTGGATGTGCCCTTGGGTCCAGCACCGTGACTTTGAGGATCTTCGTGCAGGAGCTGACGCACGTGCTCAGAGATCTATACAGGACTGTAATACGGTCCTCACAGGAGAAAATCAACATCTAACTGCGACCGTTGGGGTGACGTGGAAACGAATCTGACTACGCAAAGGAATGCCCTTCGGTTATTACGGATAAGGAGCTGGGCCTCTGCGTCCCGTCTCAGAAGTCCAGCTGCAGTGCAGCCTGTCGCTACGGAGGAAAGCGCAAGTTGCCGGCTGTCCGTCACGTGACTCTCATTTGATTTACATATAATAAATAGCAAAGTGTGGAAGGATTGAGCATTAAACCGTTTACTGCCTACCTCAAGATGGAAAGGGTTAGAGGAAGAAGATAATAGTTCTTCACTTCCTCCTTTATTATTCGAATTTACTATAATGTGCATCTATTACTGTTTAATTTCATCAAAGACTTCAATTAAATAAACTGAAACAAGGCTAGACCAAATCATGGAAGAAAGATGTCATGAAGGAAACAAAATGGTGCTGTCCATCCTCATCGCAAGTCCAACCCACAGAATAACGGAATACTCTCTGGCCAGTTCGTGTCCAGAGACCTCCCTGGGCATGCTGGGGACCCGGGGCCCAGGATCCAGCAAGAGGTGGGTGGCAGCGCGTGGGAGCTGTACCTTTCACTCGCTGTCACTCATGGAATCAATAAGCAAACTTCATTAAAAAAAAACAAAGTAGATCTGTAGTCATTGGTATAAAGCATTATTCATTGCAGAATGATTAAAAAAAAAAAGATGATTACAAAAGCAGACTGTAAATTACCCCCTTTTTTTAACACTGGGTGTTTACAGAAGAAGTAGAGGAAGAAATATGTCCAGGTACTAACAGTGATTTTCTCCGCATGAATTTAATGACGGTCTTCACTTCCATCTTTCTATCTTACACACTGTCTGAGGTGGTTATAAAATTATTATTAATTATTGGTTTTAGTTGGTATGTGTGGTTTTATAGATGGTAAACATTTTTCTTCTTAAGATAAAATTTGAAAAGGTAAAAAGAACTCCGAGAAAAAGTAAATGTTAATTATTTAAGCATGCAAAAACATGCTTGTACTATGCAAATTGTTACCAGCACTCTAACTTATTTTAGAGACCGGTCTCCCTTCTGTCCCCACTGAAATAACACCACTTGATACAACACCTTTTCCCAACCCATGGCTTCCCGTTCCCTTTATCCTTGTCTCGGTGGTGGTGTTTGTTCGTTCGCCACAGGGCGCGTGCACTTGAAGGAGAAAGATGTGGAGAGACGGTGATGGGGGAGGGGGAAATCAGCCCCAGGAACGATGACCACATCGTTCTCCTCCATTCTCTTCCTGGGACCTTGGGCACACTTGAACATGTGCCTGGTGTGATTTTCAAGCTGACGGGTCCAGGACCCAAACTGCGGTTGGCCGTGTGAGAGCCCAGCGCCTTATCCACTACGCCACCTGCTGGTCTCTCATCTGTGTCCTTCTGCCCCTTCTGAGCTAAACCCACAGGCCTGTCTTGTTCCCTTGAGCACACTGCGTGAGGGTAGGGCCTCGTCATTCCTGCAGCCAAAGCCTTACCTGGGTCAGTAAGTTAGGAAGGGCAGGGTCTCTCCCGGGGTCTCACTAATGCAAGTTCTGCCGTGCCTCTGCCTCAGGGGTGTAGACAGCGGCTGTCGGGGATACCGCCTTGTAGACTTTGCATTCTAGCCCTGCTCCGGGACTTGAAACAAGATGGACTTGTTCCGAAGCTGGAGAACTAGGACTCGAGGCTCGCTCTGGCCGTCTGTGTTCAAGAGCATTACTTAGTCTCAACTGAAGACCACTTTTTTTTTTTTTTTAAGTATTTTGGGCTGGTTCCCAGGTATTTTGTTGTCAGTATTCAGTGTTACGAGTTTAAATCTTGAATCTCCGCTGAACTGGTTTAGGTGGTAGAGGTTTTGGGAGAGTGAAGGAGTAGGCAGAAAGGCAGAAGTCGGGACAAACCCGCAGACTGGGTCTCTTCCTGACTCAGCGAAGGAGGGCTCCTCCCTGGGACAACTAGACCATCAGAGCACGATTCCAAGAAAACGTAAGCAAGGTTTTGCTAGGCAGACTTTCTTATTTTAGAATTATTTATTCCATTTCATTCATTAGTTTTTGTTTGTTTGTTTGTTTTTGTTTTTTGAGAGGTTTTTGTGGCATGTATGCACCAGAAAGACAGAGAGAGACAGAGACAGAAAGCAAGAAATCACCCCCCAGGGGGGATGGCCACTCCACAATCCCTTCTCCTCCATTCTCTCCTCTCAGGATCTTGGGCACGCACGCACACGCGCCCAGCGTGAGTCTGCAGTCGACTACATGGGAATCCAGCAACATAGCCATTACTCTAGCTGCTGGTCCCTTTTTGTTGTTGTTGTTTAATTTGACCAGAGAGACAGAGAGGGAAAGTCAGAAAGCAAGCTGCCAGGCCCAGGACTCTAACCGTGGTCGGCCACGTTGGAGTCCAGCGCGCTAACCACCAGGCCACCTGCTGGCCCCATCAGCAGACTTTCAAAGACTTTGTATATCATCTACCTCAGCAGAGAGTTACAAGGTGGTATTTCTGTTATACCTTAAATACTGAGAAGGTGTGACCATGAGCACCTCAATAGGTTAGTTTTGTTTTGTTTTCTTTTTTTGGTTTTTGTTTGTCTTCTTTTTTTTTTTTTTTTTGGGGGGGGGAGAGGTTTTTGCTATAGGGTGCGTGCGCTCGCCAGACAGACAGACAGAGAGACAGAAAGCAAGAAATCACCCCCCAGGGGGGATGGCCACTCTGCAATCCCTTCTCCTCCATTCTCCTCTCGGGATATTGGGCACGCACGCACACATGCCGGTGTGAGTTTAAGCCACCAGGTCCGGGACTCAAACCATGGTCGACTACGTGGGAGTCCAGCGACATAACCATTACTCTAACTGTTGGTCCCAGTAAGTCCGAGCTTTGAAATCTGCCCAAGTTGCAAGTGGGACTGGGCCCCAGACACACCTTTATAGGCTCCTCTCTCTCTTCCCGTTTAGCGTTACTGTGCTGCGTTTTCTTACTTTCCCTATTGTTTTTCTTCTCGCGGGCTGCTCTACTGCGCCCCTATTCAGCACTGAAGCAGAGGAGATAAAAATCAGGGCCAGCCCCTGACGCCCCGGCATAGCCCTGTGTACGGGAGCCGGGTCCCACGAGCCTGGCCACGGTCTGATTTCCAGTCCCTGCAGCTGGGGACCTCACACAGGCATGTGGTGTGTGTGCCCACGTGGGGACAAGGTGGGGAAGTGGAGCAGGAAGGACTGTGGCATGCCTACGTCCCCGGGGGAGTTCTCTCTGTCTCACACACACACGTGCAAGCACACATACCCTCTGGCGATCAAAGCTAAAAATAATAGAAGTAAAATCAGAAAGAGTGAAACCAGAGAGTTGGAGGGAAAGGAGTAGATTCTGGGTGCTCCAGGAAGCTCAGTCCGCTTTCTAAGGGCTCGGCATGTTCACGTTCCATGTGGAGCCAGGTGGCCGTCTTCAGGCACCCTGTGGTGGAGCGCGTGGGTGTGGCTCCCAGCCCTGCCCCACTCCCAGGTGGCCTCCCGCCCTGACCTCCAGTTTCCTCCCTGTGTGAGCCCCTGTGTTCAGGTGCTAGGAAATAGTCATCTTCCCGCCAGCTCCCCGGGTTTTCATCAGGCCAGGCTGTGTAGACGTGTGTATTCCCAGGTTGGGAGGCCAAGGGCAGCCCTCCTGTCTCTGGTTTCGTGGGAGCTCCACTGCCCTTCTTGGGGTTTGGCTGAGGCCCAGCACCCCTCAGAGCAGGGCTGGTGCAGACTCGGGAGCCAGGGCACCCAGGCCATCCGGACCTCTCCCTAGAGCTCTTCTGGGACCCGCCCCTCACAGTCCATCCAGGTCTCTTCAGTGAAATGTCTCCTCGAAGCTGGGGGAGCAGGATGGGAAGTGGGGAACCGGGACAGAAGACAGGATGTCATGGAAAACCGATGAGCGTGGCCCAGGCGGAGGGCGCGTGGGCAGCTGCCGGGAAGCGTGTCCTGGAGCGGCAGGGCCTGGCTCCCCGCGCCTCCCCACCCACCCCTGCTCCAGGGCTGCTGCCGGCAGTACTGACTCCTCCTCTGCTTCCCTCGCAGCCGACCCCCTGGTGGGCAGCATCGCCACGCAGTACATGACCAACAGGGCGGAGCACGACCGGATGGCCAGACAGTGGACCAAGCGGTACGCCACCTAGGCGCCACCACGTGCACGCACACTCACCAAGTGCATCGCAGCCCGCCCCGTCCTCGGCCGGCTCAGCCCCTTTCTATGACATCTGGACTGTTCCCTGCCGGTGTCGGCCATCGCCCTCCCCGCCCCGCTGTCCCCTCCCTCCCCTCTCTTGTTTTATTCCCATTTAAATTTCTGTTCACTTGAAAGACCTGGGATTGCCCCCCAGCCCACCTCCACGTGGATGGGAACTTTTGTTTTCAGTGCAAACCATGTGGGACCTGCCATGGTAAGAGCTTTCTCACAAGCTTCATATTACTGTGTGGTTTTGTTTCTCTGTCGTTTGTTTTCTTTCCATTTTTTTTCTTTTTCCTTTTCCTTTACGTGACCTTTGGGGAAACACAAATTCAGAATTCTCTCTGGTTTCTACTTCCATGTAGTGCTTCGGGTTCCTTTTTTTGTACTGAAGTCTTTATTGGTGGGTGCATGCTACTGGGAACAAGGTTTTGTACAAAAGCTTCGATCAGAATCACTGTGCATTACTGAGACCCCGTCTATCACGAGCCTTCTGTCCCCCACGCAGAAGACTGTTGGATTGAACAAAATAATATGTATTTTGATTTACTTCCAAGTGCTTGTAAATTTCTTAGGGACCTGCCACTTTGGACTGTGGATCAGTTGATGTACACTTGTATTATTAAAGCACTCAATAAATCACTGTGGCTGAAAATCGCGCTCCTGGTGACGGCGCTGGCTTTGTGTCCCGTGGCCGCGGAGCCCTCCACGCGGCGAGGCTCATCTCCTTCAGTCACGGGTTCAAGTGTGTGTTCATCTCAAACCTCTGGAGTTGCTGCGCACGTGGGATGCCTCTCGCCATCAGTGGCCCGGCGATGTCATGGTGGTCAGTGGATCACTGTCATTTACGTACTGGCTGGACATCCCTTCTGCTACCACTTCCCTTACCCGGCAGCTAAAAGGTGTGACCCCAAAAACAGCCTTCTGGGGAGCATGGAGTCCCAGCCACGTTGTGTCCACCCACTTTCAAGTTTCTTCTCTATTTCCCCTTAAAGTTGTTACTGTGGCTGCCCTCAAGCTTTGTATTTGGGATGTTTCTCCCCGTGTAGTAGAAGAAAATTCATCTAGTGGCCAGCAGGTGGCGTGGTGGTTAAGGGCACTGGACTTCCACATGGCTGACTACAGTGCAAGCCCCGGACCTGGCGGCTTGCTTTCTCTCTCTCTCTCTCTCTCTCTCTCTCTCATCAAATTAAGATAAGTAAACAAAATAAAAATAATAAAAATAATTGTAAAAAGAAGAAAACTCATCTGCATTGGTTGTGGTCAGCACGTTTAACCACGAGGGTGTGTCCACCTGGCCTCACCTTCGGACTGTGGTAGGGCAGCTCCAAGAGGCCGAGGCCCACGCAGGCGGTGTTTTCAGAGCGCGTGACTTGCTGGTTGCTGGGCACGCTCCTTTGTGTTGCAGACATGCTGGAAACTCCTGCTCTCCCCAAGGACAGCGCCAGGCCCGCTGCATGGCTGAGGCTCATGGGAGGCCCCATTAACCTCTTCATTGTCGAACACTGGGATTTATAGATGTAAGTATCTGACTCCAGAGATGCAGTTTGGGGACTTTGTTTTTTTTAAGAATTATTTTATGTAACTATTTATTTATTTAAATTTGACCAGGAAGGGACAGAGTGAGAGAGAGAGAGGGGGAAAGTGAGTAAGCAAACCCAAGATCCAGGACTCAAATTGCAGTCAACCATGTGGGAATCCAGCACCCTTAACCACTGTGCCACCGGCTGGCCCCCAGTTTGGGGACGTTTTTATCTGGTTAAAATGAAATCCTGAGCCAGCAGGTGGCATAGTGATTAAGGCACTGGATCCCACGCAGTGGACCCTGCAGTTCGAGTCCCAAGCCCAGCGACTTGAAAACATGTCTGGTACATGTACATGCATGCTCAAAATCCCAAGAGGAGACTGGAGGAGAAGGGATTGTGGTATCTTGTATGTCTGTCCTGCTGCGGGGGGGGGGACTTCTCACTTTCTCTCTGTCTCTCTCTCCCTCCCTCTCTCCCCACCCCCTCAGTGGGCACATACACCCTAGAGCTAGATAGATAGATAGATAGATAGATAGATAGATAGATAGATAGATAGATAGATAGATAGATAATGTTTAAAGAAAATATATTTAAATATTGGAAATACCACTTTTAAGCCAAAGTACCAGGGATACTTTTTTTAAAAAAATACCAATTTACCACTCATTTTTATTCTAAAACATTCTCTAGCATTCCAGATCACAGTGTGGTCTCCGTAGCAGCTCTTCAGCTCTGTAGTTGCAGCAAAAGAAACCAGAGAGAGGACCTAAGCGCATGGACGTAGCTACGTTCCAGTGAAACTGTTTACCAACACAGAAGGCGGGCGGGTTTGGCTCAGGAATCCCAGCTGGCCTGTCCCCAATATAAACTCACCACAGGCTGAGGGGGACGAGTGTCAGACACTGCGCGTCATCTCATTAACATAAATCAGTTCCATTGACGGAATTCAAGACTGATTTTTTGGAAAATTACCTAGAATGTTTTAGTACCTGCAGTCTCTCTCACCACAGAGGTTTTGGTTTTTACTTCAATATGTCAGAGTTTAACATTTAGCCCTAAAGGCATTGAGCCATTGTGAGATTAAATCACATTCGACTGCTTTTTTCTTCTGACTGATTAAGCCAGACCTATGATCCTAATACCAACTTTTATAGGCAGCGTTTAAATTCATTTTGCCCTTCCTCTTTTAAAATGTCAACTCCATTGGACACATTTTAAATAGTATGTCAAGTATATTATATTCTACATTGCATAGCTGCTTGTACTTCAAATCATTCTAAAATGTGTATTATTTAGGAGCCAGAGACTACAGCAGTTGTAATAGGAAACTCAAACACCAATCTGTGTGCTTTGCTGTGAGCCATGTTGGGTTTTGAGCCAATCTGTGATACAAAGAGCCTGTAACTCCCCTCTCTCATCTTCATAAACTCTTAATGACAAACAAATGTATATGCCTCTTAACACGTAAAAGCCAGAGGATCTCTAGGAAGACCAACAAGCTCTTAGGAAAGCCTGTTAAGTCTAGAACGCAGATAAAATGGTAATTGTATTTGAAATCTTTAATCATAGCACTGAATGCAATTACAGGAAGTTTTCAAAACTGCTTATAAAATAGGATTTAGGCGTAATTTGGCACTCAGCTCCGTAGCTGGCTTTTAAAAATGGGGATAAGCATTCTAAAATTCCGAAGTGATTTCGTACCCTCGCATTACTCAGTTGTTCACACCAATTACTGGTAATTACAGTATTTTGTAACTGCATTAAATAAAATGTTGGCTGATCCTTGATTCAGGCAAGACTGTTGGTCATAGAGATTGTAGTTGGAGATGGTATTGACTCATCGGAAATCGTTCAGCGTGTTGTGGGCTCGGGGACCAGATTGTACAGCAGTGAAACCTGATACTGTGCAAGGCTGCCTCGCCGGCAAGGTCCTGGGTTTGAGGCCAGACACCTCCCTGAGTGTGGCGGACTCACGTGTGCCCCTGATGTGGGTTGGGCTCAGGCTGGGGGTGAATCCCGGCTTCGGTACCCGTTGGGGTGCTGTCTCTCTTGCTTCTGGAAGAATTGGATAGATGGACTTTAAGGGGGAAAAAAAGAAAAGAAAAATCGAAAGGCTTGTCCTTAACTTGTCATAAAACTGCAAATGAATAGAACACTCTTCACCAGCTCTGCAGGGATCCATTGAGGATAGCGATTGTAGAAGGAGTTCCCCTTCTGTTCTTATTCCCAGATTAGGACGTTCCTGGAGATCTCACCAGGGAATACAGGCTTAGCAATGAGAAGAGAGGAAATGTTTACTCAGAGTAGGCGTGTACCGAGCCAGGAGGTATCTTATCGAAGCGACGAAGGTCCCAGAGTGAGGCGTCCGCTCTAGCACGGGGCCCCAGAGCCCTCTGTCAACCGCGAAGCCACACGCGCCTTTGTTCTAACCACTGGGTCATTCTATAAAAACTGTCACTGTTCAGTTTGAGAGTCAGTCAGCGCCACGACTTCTAGGTGATGGGACTTTGTCAGCGTCACTACCTGGGAGGAAGAATGAAGACTGTCATCTTAGGGGTGCCACGTGACGCTTTCATCGGGCAAGGGGGGAACGTGTCACTTGCAAAGCCTTGAACTCCGCATCTTAGTCGTACAGAAAAAGGGTGTTCGTGATGTGCCTGCTATTTGTCGTTACACGGCAGTTTTTAAATCTTTCCCTTTAAAAAGATACGTAATACTGAAAACAGTTGAAAATGCATGTTTAGGGACCAGCAGATGGTGAAATGGCTATGTCGCTGGATTCCCATGTAGTCGACCGCAGTTCAAGTCCTGCACCTGGTGACTTAAACTCATGCCGGGCGCGTGTGCGGGCATGACCAAGACTCTGAGAGGAAAATGGAGGAGAAGGGATCGCGGCATGACCATCCCCCTGGGGGGTGATTTCTCACTTTCTGTCTGTCTGTCTCTGATTTTCTGGCAAGCGCATGCACCCTATAGCAAAAACCTCTCCAAAAAAGAAAAAGGGAAAAAAAAAATGCCTTTTGTAAAAAGCCCCAGCAGAGGATCCTGCCCTGTGTTTTACTCCATGGTGGCTTTACCACTCTGTCAAATGTCGCTTCAGGCCCAGCCCTTTTGGCAGAATCAGTACCAGACCGCAAAGCTAGAAACCACGTGCCAACCATGGTTCGAGTCCCTAGCCCTGTTGGACTGAAAATACATGCCAGGCACGTGTACCCACCCCTCTCTCACATGTGTGTGCACGAGCCTTAGATCTGAGTTTTTTCTTTATAGTTATTTAAATTTTATTTGTTATTACTTTTACTTTGACAGAGGTGGGGGGAGGGAGGAGTGAGAAGGCAAGCCGCCAGGTCCAGGACTCAAACTGTGGTCAGCCATCTGAAAGTCCAGCGCCTTAACCACTGTGCCACCCACTGGCCCCTAGATCTGAACTTTTCAAGTTCCTTTGTACAGAGCTCAGGGAGGTGGAGTTGAGGCCACCCAGGAAGTAAGAACGCCGTGGCCTCTGCAGACCTTCCGAGGGGGCCGAGCCTTCCCCACATCCATGCTGCCCCTGCAGAGCTGACGGGCTCCTTGGGCTCGGGGCGTTTCTTCTCTCAGGACGTGTCGTTCTCACGGTCGGCCTGGAGCACGTGAGGAGGGTTAGGGTTACCTGCAGACAGAGAGCTCTGTCCAGGAACCTCTTGGTCGCGGACAAACCAAGACTGGTGGTCATGCCGGCTTTCGTGCGAGGGCCGACGTTCAGCCCAGGTCTCGGCTCTGCACAGAAGCACCTACGCCCTTTGAAAGTTCTGCCCCAAGCCCCGGCGCGGTACCGGCTGCACGGTGTTCCCTGCAGAAGACACGACCATGCGGCGGTGTGAAGAGCTGGCCCGCTGTGGCTGTCACCCCTGGCCTGTTCGTCCATTCTCCGGCTCTGAAGGAGTGGGTGGGCTTACACCTCCCGACACCCCTGAAGGTACGTCTGCCTTTCTATGCGGGGGCTTTCTGAGTGGTTTAACAAGGCACTTAACAAGGGACATTTTTCTTTTTAATTAAGAATTATTTCCTTTATTTACCTTTTTTTTTTATTTTTTCCAGTTTGCCCAGAGAGAGAGAGACAGAGAAAGAAAGCGAGAATACAAGCCACATGGTCC